TACAACACTCTCCTTGTTCCAAAATATAAGTCCTGGCCTTGATGATCTTATGATCTTATTTCTGCAAAACTGGTTTCCAGTTTACGTCATTTCATTTAGAGCTGGGATGTCAAACATGAGGAGCCAGACTCCATTCTGTCCCACTGGTTGGCTTTGGAAAATATGAAGCAGGGCATACATTTGGGACTTTTGTCTGTATTTCCATAACTTTTGCAGCTTTTTCTGCTAATAAAAACCTCCCCCGTGGCCTTTTATAGTATACCAAAGTAATAAAGTAATAACATTAAATGACAGAAACATTCCTGTTTTTTCAATATCTGCTATAGTAATGTATGTGTTGTGTGGACCAGTTTTTCATTTAGCAGCAGCATTTCTTTATCATGTAGAAAAACAGACATACTGTTGAAATTGAGCGTCTTTGTCTTAAATTAATATATCTCAGGGATTAAATGTGCATTTAAACTTCTGGGCAGTTTCACTGATCTGGTCTTGATGTGTCCTGTGGCCTGTCATGTAAAATATCCTTGATTTACAGGTTTATTACAGTAGCATCTAGTGGACAATAGAGGAACTGCAGCTACCCAAACGAGCTAATCACAATAAGTAGGAAACGGAAAGCGTTAGATGTGGCAGTTTGTTTAATCCGATTAACATCAATCAGGAAATCTGTGACATACTTTACTAATACTTTACATTACATACAATTCTACAACAAAAATGTGCAAGACAATAATACAAAAAGAAAACTGTGTCTCATGTTTTTCATATTAAAGCACCTTCAAACACAGCGGTTATTGGTATATAAAGTTTTAGGATTTAAAGTCAAATATCATAAAAGAATACTTACACTCTGATTTACCCTGATGGAGAATATTAGGCACCATGTTGATATAAATAAAGTTTAATTACAGCAAAACAAAACAGGAAGAAGTGCTAAAAATGTTGTGAATGCACCAGTGAAATATGTACACAATCTTCATGTGTTTTTGTGTGATTGTACGTTTTTCAGATAGATTTATTAATGTTGTCGTTGTTATTGATCTCCATCCTGTCGATCAGCTCAGTCACCAGCTGCTGCACGGTGTGAGAGCGCAGCCGGCCGATCTCCAAGACGCCCTCGTGGTTCACGCTTTCCGTGTCCTCGTAACTCTTCACCACCTGAAGCAAAGTGAGATATCACAGAGTCTTTGTAACAGAGTTACTTTTGTAGCCTGCAGCTTTGTAAATGATCACAGTTATAGCTAATCAGTTGTTGATCAGTGACTCGGATGTGTACTACCTTGTTGGTGATCAAAGAGAGGCCAAAGACTCTCAGACCGCAGTGAGTTGCCACAACCACCTCAGGAGCTGTACTCATACCTAAAAAAAAAAACCCAAAACAGACCAGGGGATGTTACTAAAACTAGTCATGAAACAACTGATGATAATACTGATGCTACTGCAACAAATTTTCCCACTCAACCCTATAAATAGCGAGCATTTTAGTTAAGATGGCAGATAACAGGAGTGAGATTATCTGATTTTAGTGCAGTGGGATCAGGAAGGGAGCTGATAAGAATTTAGTGATTCCGATTCTGTTATTATGTTGTGGGTCAAATATTTGTGCATGTTTGTTGAGCTATTTCCCACCTTTGTTGTGATCAGTGTTGGAATCGTTACTCAAAAAAGTAATTATTACACATTACACATTACGTTACTTAGTTAGTGCTGGGAAGAAGTAATTCATTCTACAAACTCATTACTCGTTACTTTCATTTTACTCTGTAAAATAGCTGAAACACACTGTCTCATAATCACCATTTAACAATATACATCTGAGACTAAAACCCCACAAATCAACACAAATCCTTAATGAGGACACATATCTCTAAGATCTTTCTCTTAGTAGAATACAAAGCTGACCGCACAAAGCATGTATCGATATAGGTCACATCTTCTCACAAATACTTAACTAATACTGAGGGAAAAAAGCAATTTCATCAGTAAAATCTATATACCTGTGACCTGCCAAGAGTTTGGTGGCTCTGGCCTTAAAACTGTTATGTCCATTATCTAATGACTATCCTGAAAGGCCATGTAGGAAAATCAAGAGTGCTTCCAGTTGTTCCAAAGAGCTGATGTGAGTCATATTTAAAACAGGCATAACAAAAGAGTTGTTGTAACAAATGCCACAACACTTACCAGTGCAGAGAGTAGACTTCTGTGGTTTAGGGACTTGGCACTAAGCATAAATCGAGCCTTAGGGGAGATTTACAGTCTAACACATGTAGGTGTTTTCTGTTCACATCGGAAATGGCGATGTCTGATCTCACCAGGCATAAATGTAGGCAAAGCTCATAATGGGCTGGTCCTCACACCTGCAAGCAATTACTCCC